AACTAAACTACCATCACTCTTGGTTAACTCTGTACCGATAATAGCATAGTCATTATCATGATTGAAAATTTAAGTGCTCTCAACACCCACAAAGTCAGCTTCATTATCCTTTTCGTCTTTCACATTATCTTCTTAAAAAATTATAGCAATATTGGTGACTTCATTGTCGAAAATTTTGACAACTATGACATCGTTAAGGACAATAGCTTGGTCAACTTTTTCATTAGACTTTTGATTGCTTTCAACTCCCATAAGTTCAGCCTTGTCAATCTCTTTTTTGACATGATCATCCTTGGAAATTTCAGCTTCAAATTCCTCCTTTTTTCGCTTAAGTGTTTCTTATTGGTAAATTTTAGCAAACTCATCCATTGTCGTTTCTAATATCCGATTTCAAGTATGGTCTCATCGAGTTCCCTTAAAATCTATTGTCACCTTTTAATCTACATATTATGGTAATAATTCTATTATTGCCTTCTCATTTCTTTCTTTTATAAAAATAATCAAAACAGATACACAAGGATACACTATAATAACTCTAAATCCAAAACTAACGAAATATGACAAAATAGACAAATTTGATGAAATGAAAAATCTAACAAAATGGATAGATTTGGAACAAATAAATTGACAAACCAATTTAACCAAGAATATTAAGTTGCGAGACAGTAAGAACAACGCTAGAACCGACTTGAATTGAATTTAACTAAGAAGACACAAGTTGATTGTTTGGGAAAGCAACTAATCACAATCATTTAGCACATAATTTATTGTTTAGCTACTAATTTGAAACGAGGTTTTATGTATATCAAGACCTCGCATAATTCGATTTTTTTGATTAAGACCAGTAAACTTTTTTCTATCCAATATAACAATTCTACTTATATATTGTTGTTGCTTCAGCATCCTAACCAATGATAGCTTGGCACGTGTGGGCTCTAGCCGATGACAACTTTCCATGTCACCAATTCAATCACCCAATTTGGACCTACTTATGATATGTGGCAAGTCGTCATTGGCTAGAGCTTGCCACGTGTACTTAAATGGAATATTAGGGCTCGAAACAACAATAATATAAGAGTAAAACTCTTAAATTGGACATAAAAAATAACGTCTCAATAAAAAAATTCAAATTGTACGAGTCTCGATTTGTGCAAAACCTAATTAAAACACACTAACCATACTTTATAGCTACCGATTTGAAAAAATGCGACAATGAAGAGAAGTTGAATATTATCAATTAAGCACACACATGATGTTTTAGCTACTAATTTTAAGTAACCAAACTAATTCTTTTTTTTAAGCTACCGATTTCGGATCAAATGATACGGATCTGCTACTCGTTTTTTCTTGATTTCATTTGAAAAAAAAGATAGAAATAACATAACTCTTTTTTTTTTTTTTTTTGGTAGCCTTAAGACGTTTTCAATGTAGTATTATGGTTTCTTTCAAATTTAGAACAATAAGAAAATTTTAGAATTAGAGAAGAAGATGAGACTTGGATGAAACAAGACGGATAACTTTTTTGACAAACTAGACGAAACGAATCAAACCGAACTTTCTTTTTTCTTTTCTTTTTGAATTGAAACCGACTCAATTTGGATTAAAATGAAACTACAAAGACACAAAAAAAAAGATAATGAAAAAGAACTCGATTTAGAGCCAAACTTTAATATCAATCGATATGAACCCATCTAGCTCGATGGCTAAAAAATCCATGAATAAGAAGGAAGAATCTCAAGAAAACCAAATCAAATTAAAAATGGAAGGATATTAGGCACCACACTCCGGAAAGATAGAAGAGGAGTAATAAGTCTATGTGAATGCTATAAGAATGGGAAATTCTTAATAAGTTTAAAGGATGAATGCAACAAGAACAATTAGTCTTTGATAAGTTATGAAAGCTCTTAAAGCACTAAGGAGAATAAATCTCACAATAATATTTAATTTGATTGATAAAAGATTCATTATTCGAATACAAAATAAACCTATTTATAGAGCTGAAATAATAATCTAGGAAACTTAAAAGCCTAGAATGCTTAAAATCCAACAAAACATAAATATGACCTAGAATCCATCAAAAGGCCTAAAATGCAACAAAACATTAAACTAGCATTTAAGTTGCTCTCTTTGGTTTCGGAAATGCAACTTAGGAAGTTGCGACCACAAATATGAAGGTTATAGAACACTAGGAAGCACATGGCTAGAATGTTGTTTGGCCTTAGGAAGCCCATGACTTAAATAAAATGCATTCCCTCTCGACCCAAATGACAATTGAATCAACCCATTTTGGTCCGGCTTTAATTAATATTTTGGGCTCATTAATTTCAGCCTAAATACCAAGCTTTAACTCCTTTTAAAACTCATTTCCATACAAATCAACTCATGTGAATTTTATACATCCCAAATTTCTTCATGGAGTAATCCATTTAATTTCGTATAATTTTGAAATGATAGTCTAGGAAACTTAAAAGTCTAGAATGCTTAAAATCCCAAAAAAAAAACATAAACATGGCCTTGAATTCATCAAAATGCCTAAAATGCAACAAAACATTAAACTAGCATTTAAATTGTTCTCCTTGGTTTTGAAAATGCAACTTAGGAAGTTACGGACATAAATCTAGACCTTGAATTAAGGCATGAAGGTTATAGCACACTAGGAAGCGAGACGACCAAAATGTGCATCATTAGGAAGCACACGACTAGAATGTTGTTTGGCCTTATGAAGCACACAACTCAAACAACATGCATTCCCTCTCGACCCAAATGGTAATTGAATTAGCCCATTTTGGTCCGAGCTTTAATTCATGTTTTGGGCTCATTAATTTCGACTAAAATACCGAGCTTTGACTCTTTTTAAAACTCATTTCCATACAAATCAACCCACGTGAATTTTATACATCCTAAATTTCTTCATGGAGTAATCCATTTGATTCTATATAATTCAAAATTAGAAAAGAAGATGCGACGTAGATTAAACAAGACGGATAACTTTTTTGACAAAATAGACAAAAACGAATCAAACCAAACTTTCTTTTTTCTTCATTTTTTTTTTAATTGAAACTCGATTCAATTTGGATTAAAACAAAACTACAAAGACACGAAAAAAATAATGAAAAAGAACCCGATTTAGAGCCAAACTCTAATACCAACCGATATGAACCAGTCTAGCTCAATGGCTAGAAAATTCACGAACAAGAAGAAAGAATCTCGAGAAAGCCAAATCAAATTCGAAAATAAAGGATATTAGACACCACACTCCGGAAAGATAGAAGGGGAGTGATAGGTTTATATGAATGCTACAAGAATGGGAAATTCTTGATAAATTTAAAGGATGAATGCCACAAAAACAATTAGTTTTTGATAAGTTATGAAAGTTCTTGAAGAACAAAGGAGAATAAATCTCATAATAATGTTTAATTTGATTGATAAAAGATTCATTATTACGAATACAAAATAAGCCTATTTATAGGCTCGAAATAATAATATAGGAAACTTAAGAGTCTAGAATGCTTAAAATCCAACAAAACGTAAATATGGCATAGAATTCATCAAAATGCCTAAAATGTAATAAAACATTAAACTAGCATTTAAATTGCTCTACTTGGTTTTGGAAATGCAACTCAAGAAGTTGCAGCCATAAATCTAGACCTTGAATTGAAGCATACAATTATAGCACACTTGGAAGCACACGGCCAAAATGTGCATCATTAGGAAGCACGGGACTAGAATGTTGTTTGGCCTTAGGAAGCCCACGATCCAAACAACATACATTCCCTCTCAACCCAAATGACAATTGAATCGGCTAATTTTGGTCCAGACTTTGATTCATGTTTTAGGCTCATTAATTTCAACTCGGATACCAAGCTTTGACTCTTTTTAAAATTTATTTTCATACAAATCAAACCATGTGAATTTTATACATCCCAAATTTTTTCATGCAATAATCCATTTGATTCTATATAATTCTGAACCTATCAGCCCATTTTGGTGTAGCTTTAATTCATATTTTGGGCTCATTAATTTCAATTCAAATTTCAAGCTTTGGCTCTTTTTAAAACTCATTTCCATACAAATCAACCCATGTGAATTTTATATATTCCAAATTTCTTCATAGAATAATCCATTTAACTCTGTATAATTCTAACCCACCCTAAAAGATCACATCATTAACATTGAGGTCAAAGTTCTTCAGTTACAAACTAAATAGATGACGTGGAGTCTTCAGCCAGGGGGTATTGTTACAAACTAAATAGATGACGTGGAGAAGAATGGAGAGAAAAGGTGACATGGAGAAAGGAAGTAGTAACAACAATGAAGCAATTGGATGACATGGAGAAGTTAACAAATACAGCTGCTAGCACAATAGAATTAGTTAGACGAATCAGTTAGTTTGTTAGAGGAGTTAGTTGAAATGCTAGTCTTTTAACAGAGGTGCGAGGAGAGATGAGGGTATCCTGGATCATTTGTGTTAAATCATCTCTTTCTGTTTTTCTTCTGAATATTTTCTCTCTGAACAATAATTCTATATTTCTTATATTCTTGTATTAGAACTTTGTTGCATGCATTCCTACATTTACAATTGGAATAGCAAAGACTTGAATTCCTTCTTCAATTTTTCTTGGCTGAAATTATGAACTGTAGCAGTTTAATAGATCAAGTACCCAACCAATTGCCATTCCTACATGTATCTGATCTGAAAGGGATTCTTAGGACAAAAACTAATGATAAACATGCTCATGTCCTGCCACTGGTCCAAAGTTGTACAGAATCTAATGCACATTATCAATTTCAATGTTATCTAAGCATTCTCCATAACCATCTAAATAAGATCGATCATAAGCCAGAATACAAAACCTATGATGTCCAAAGCTTTCAAGCGAGAAAGTTTAAAAACTGACAGTAAAACTTTACATCAACAAAGTACAAGACCACGAGAGGGTAATGCAAAACATATTGGAGACATGGAAACCATACTAGACCAACAATAGTATCACTATACCTTATGAAACCATAACTGCATGCCGTTTGTGCCCAAGAAATGCTTCGCGAAGTTCTTTATACCCACTCCTATAATGCTCCAGAGAGAAGCATAGTTGTCGAATTGCCTCCCTTTTCTCCTCAGCCACAGCTGAAAGCTCAACTCTCTGCCTATCCACCTCCTTCTCCAGCTCCAGTACCTTCAGTCTTAACTCGTCCACTCGTTTCTGTGAACTTTCAGACCCAGCAATCAATTCCACATGTTCAGCATGCAACCGTTGCTGATGCCCCTCCATTTGCCTTATTTGATTGTCTCGAGAATTCACTTCTGCAATGAGTGTGTTCACCTTAGCACTCATCCCATCTTTCTCGGCCATAAGCATATCGTATTTAAACTTGAGGCTGTCAAGGTTTTTGTTCAGAACCTCCACATGTCCACCTCTGTCAATTAGTTCCACCTTCAATTGACTGATCTCCCCTTGCAGCCCAATCTCCCGGGCATCATGCAAATGTTTCATTTCCATTTTCTCAGCTTCACATCGCCTCAATTTATCCTCCATGGATTTCCCCTGTGAATCCCATTCTCTCAGCTTTACCTCCAACACGGTCTGTTTCTCAGACAGGTTTCGTATCTCAGACTGCAGGTGTGCCTTCTCCACAGAGAAACTTTCCTGGGCATTGTGCAGTGCATCTTTCAGTTCCTTGACTTCATGATCATGATCAGAAAGATCATTTTCGTAGCATTCAATCCTCTCCTGCAATTCTAAAACTTGCTTACTCTCTGCATTGAGTTTGGCATTCAGCATTGCTATTTCTTCATCAGCCAACTTGAGCTGACCTTGAAATTCATCTGTACCTTCAGCTATTTGCTCTTGCAGCTCCAAAACTCTCTCTCTTTCCACTTGAATAGCTGCCTCCCTCATTTGGATATCTCCAATTGCTGATTCAAGCTGAGTTTGCAAAGTCCCAGAAAGTTCCCTAAAGAATACACTCTTCTCAAGCTCACCTTTTAACTTGGCAACCTCATCTTCTGAAAGCTGGAGTTTAAGCTTTGTAAGCCTCAACTCTTCCTCATACCCGATTATTCTGCCAAGCAGCTCCTCATAATTTCTATTTTCCTCTTGATTCAGCACGCTATCTCCATTCTCTTTTTCATCCATCCGGAGCTTTTCTTCCATGCTTGGGAGCTCAGTCCCCATCTCAATAATCCTCCTGTGCAGTTCACTACGATCTGTGTTCACTGGGAAGCTATAGTAGGCATTCCCGGAGGAATTGAAAGATTCTGATTCAGAATCTGATGATGATGAAAATGATTCAGATCCTTCCTTCAATGAAAGATCAGAGCTAGCACTATGGGAGCTGCCAGAAGGTACTCGATTACCAGTCTTGTAACCCAGCTTCTGATCAGGAGTCACCATAGGAGAGTCCTTGCCATAGCCAGATTCAGAATTGTCAGCACCCTGTACATGGAACTCTGATGGTATGCTCTTAGATAATTCTGCTGTCACGTACTCATAGCACTCAGCCAATGATTGATGCATGCTGTTGAATTCCTCAATTTTTGAAATCAAATCTGGCCTGCTCTGCTTACACATTTCAGCCTTCTTTGCAAGAGATGCACCATCTTCTTCAATCAGTTTCAGCATTTTTTTGACACTCTGCTCCATCTCTTTCATTAACATCTTTTCCAGCCTTGTGATTTTTGTAATGCGGTTGGTCTCACAGAAATGTCAAATTCTGAAGTGAGGTTGATAAGCCAGATGATCCTGAACTGGCCAACTAAATTTTTAGCATGAGAACAAGCAAAAAAAACTGCGACAGTCGAGAAGCAAAAGCAGTTGCAAAGCGAAGAACAATATCCAAATTATCAACAACAAACATAATCAGACCACTAAAAAGAATTGAAGTTCATATGAACTAGAAAAAAAAATAATAATCAAACTTCCCAACTCGTCCAGGGTAAATTAGGTTTATGATGTATTTCACAGTTGGTAAGAACAAGCAAAACCAAAAATTCTATGGAAAATCAATCGAGCCTCGATCTATGCTTGCTGAATTTAACCTCTAATAAATTTAGCATGACAAACATACCCTTTAATGTTTCGCTAAACTTTGTTATCCATTTTTACTAAATGGGCAAACAATGACAAAAACCTTCTTACATTATTCTACTCTTGAATTTTCCTCTGGACCATTAATTTTCACTCCAACCACTGCTTTATCACTCTCAAAGTTTATCTTAGACTGGACCTTACGGTAACAAAGTGATAAGTAAGCTGATCTGCAATCTAAATAGCAACGAATACAGTAGCTGAACTGCAATATGCGAAACGCACCATCCATCGACTGATAATGATCTTTCTAAACTAAATAAAAAATATGCCCTTTAAGTGTTTCTTGCCCATCAACCTCAAACAGCGGTGTCAATCAAATACTCTTAAAACAGCAAGCAAACATGAGACATAGCCTTTTGCTAAGTTGAGTTGAGTTGAGTTCAGTTCAATTCAGAAGTTATTATAGTGGTTGTCGGTTTCAACTTTTTTCTGAGAAAAAAAAAACTCTGTTTTCACATTCAAATAAAACGGAAATCAGAACCTTAAATGATCTCCAAATCATGCTCTGAATCGAATCAGGTAAATACATCCATAGATTTAAGGTGTGATTTCTTGGGAATCAATACGTTTTTCTGCAAATTAAGGAAAACTGCTTTCCATCTCAAAGAGATCACACAAAGAATATAACAAATACTCGTAAAATAAATAAAAACATAGAGCAGTTCACTGACCTTGGTGGCAGAATTCAAGATTTTGGACTGGCTGGCTGGCTGAGTGACTGCACGAATTTAATTTTTTTTCTTCTTTTCAGATTGATGATAGGAATGAAACACTGACAGGATGTGGCCCTGATTTTAACAACTCCTTTGATTGTAACCGAAAAGGGGTTTTCTGGGCCTATATTTTCTTCTTTTCAGAGAGAGAGAGAGAGAGAGAGAGAGAGAGAGAGAGAGGGATTATTAGGAAATGGAGACAGAGAAAAGAGTGAGAAAGGGAAAACATAAATCTCTGAACCCTGCCAGTTTTCATGTGGTGGAGTCCCCCAAGTTGCCGCCCTTTCGCTTCTGAATTTCCTAATTTACCAAAAATACCCTCCATTTCAAAATTTTGAAATCCCACCAAATTCTCATAGGTTCGGTGGACGCCAGTGGGCTATTTACTGATTTAAGCATGGTGGGCCTGTATAAGACAATTAACACCCTCTTGCTTTGTCTTCACGTGCTGGACGTGTTTCTTTTTCCTTCGGCAACTAATTTATTTGATTCAAGGGAGTATTGACTTTTTATTCCTTGTCGATCCAGTCTTTTCACGCCTGCAAATCAATGTATTTTGTAAAACTTAAACTCATCCATGTGCAATGTATTTTGTTTTCTCTACGTATGAAAAAGATTGTTTTTTTTTCTTTTAACTTTTTATAAATATTATTAATTATAATATCATATTGGTATTTTTTTTGTTCATATTTTTTTAAAATTATTTTTATATATGATTGTATTTGAGCTATTTTTTTTCAAAATGAACTTTAACTAGAGATATTTTTTAAAAAAATCACTTAAAGTATTGATTAGATAAGTATTTGAGATAAATATATAGAAAAATATAAAAAAAATTATTGTTGCTACGTAATTTTTTAATTATATGTCCTCTTGTGTGTTTTTGGAAGAGCTTTTGATGATAATAATAATATTTTGAACAACATTTTAGAGGAAGAAAAAACCAATTTGCATACCATAAACACATGAATAATTTTTCTGTCACAACGCTACATTTTTTATTTTTTTCAAAACATATAATGAAACGTAATAATATGATTGCATTTTCGGGAAATTAATTAGACAAAAAAAAAAAAAGATATTATTTAAGAATTGTTTGGTAAATTGATTAAATCCAATAATTACGCTTAAAGTGTGGCGGGGGCCACCAACCAAAGAGAGATTGTGGCGGGGAAAGAGTTGGAGATGTGTCGAAAACATCTCGGTCACATCATATGATATTTGTTTTTTTTTTTCAACTCTACAAGTGAATGAAGGTTAAAACAGCCATTAAGATTATATGTTAGAGTGCTTAGAGGAGAGAAACAAAAACATATTTGAAACATAGTCCATGATAAATTTTGGCATAATTTAAACAAACAAATAACCCACAAAAAAAAAAAAAACATGCGTTTGGCAAAATGTGATGGATTTTAATTATAATGTAATTATTCATTATATTTTTAAGATTAGTTTTGTGATTTTTAACATTATAAATGAAAAATAAGATCACATAATGTAATGATTTATCACTTTACAAATAGCAATTACGATTATATATGTGAGAGAGAGAGAATGATTAATCATTACATGATTAAAAAAAATTAAAAAATTAACTATTATTATTACTTAATTCAATAATAAATATATTTTTTTATTAGTTTGTGTATTAATAAAAACTAAATTTCTTCCTAAACCATTTTAAAAACATATCCTTACATCAGCCTAGTATATTAAAAAAATATATATAATTTTTCTAGATGCTAGTCGTATGTTCTGAGCTCAAAAAGTCAATAAAATAAGCAAGCCTTCTTAACCGACTAGCCAATCCCATGGGATTTTAGATATTATTATTGAAAGCAAACTTTTTTGTCATGTAGGAAGCTGATTGTAAACACATTTTTAATCTGAGTAAAATTTATTTTGTCAAAATTTTAAATTAATGGCCTTGTTGTATGGAAACTTAAATATAAATAAAAATGGCATTTTCAATTATCATAGGAACAGGCACAAAATTAGCAAGAAACTACATTATCTTATTCCGATGATATATATATATATATATATATATATATATATATATATATATATAAAGGTAAATATACCTTTATAATGGTTATGAATCACCTATAATTAGTACTCCAACACCGATGTATAAAATCAAATATAATCTAGCATTTATAATGTAATTTTAATTATCTAACAGATACAATTTTCGTTTTATTCTTTTATTATTATTATTATTTGATAATTAACATATACTACTTTCTTGAATACTAATAAAAAGATATTAACTTGAATTTATTTGTACGACTCGAGTGTTATCAGTGTCTGAATTGAAAAAAGATAATTAAAAAAAAAAAAAACAGGCACAAAACTTAATATTATTTCAATGATGGTAATTAACGAGGATATTCAACTTATGGAGTTTTTTCATTGAGAGAAAGAATAAGATAATAAGGTATGACAAATAAAGTACATCTAGCATGGACTTCTTGGAAAACCGTTTTCCCTGTTACTTGATTTACAAATGCAATTGAATTTATCTAGTTTTTATCCCCATTTGGTCCTTGTTGTTTTCTCAATCTTGAATTTAGTCACAAACATCAAAATTATTGCAGTTTAGCCTAATTAAAAAATATTTATTTTGAACATCAACAATGCCTCGTGTTTCTTTCTTTGGTTGACGAAGGAAGATGAAGGAAATTTGCCATTCAAGATTTATAAGTCATAAATATTTTTTTCATGATCGACTCTAGCAAGAAGTAGTGTCTAAAATATATATATATATCATCACCCATGAAAGTATCATTGATATTTTAATAGAATTAGATAAAAGTCCGTATGAAATGTATTGCATTAATGATTAATTGAAAGATTTGAGATAAACATTAATGGACTTAAATAATATCATTAAATGTCTTAAGTCATAGCATTGTCAAGAATGGACATTGACTATATGCAATAAGACTTGTAAATACTATGCTCATACTAAAAGATAGCAGTAGGAGATCTCACACCTATTGATATGGTGATGCTAAAGTAAGTACTTAGGTGATTAATATTAAAGAATATATTACTAAACATGACTCGTCATAAGAATCCATTTGGTTTAGTCTATAAGAATCTCGTATGAGATGGGTACAACTAGTCATTTGATTTGAAGTCATCACGGTTATCTCATTAAGAGATTTATGTTCTTTGACACTTATTTCGATGAGCTAAGTCAAGAGTTAAATGTGGATGATTTGTTAAGTGCACTAGAAATCTAATAGAGATACGTGGATCACTAAAATAAGATATGTCATTCCTTATATGCTAAACAATTTTTTTGAAGCAAATATATATATATATATCATTGTTATGTAATTTTTTTTAACTATATGTCCTCTTGTGTGTTTTTGAAAGAGCTTTTAATGATAATAGTAATATTTTGAATAATATTTTAGAGGAAGAAAAAACTAATTTGCATACCATAAACACATGACTAATTTTTCTATCACAACGCTACATTTTTTTCTTCAAAACATATAATGAAACGTAATAATATGATTGCATTTTCGGAAAATTAATTAGACAAAAAACTAATAAGATATTATTTAAGAATTGTTGTTAAATTGATTAAATCCAATAATTACGCTTAAAGTGTGGTGGGGGCCACCAACCAAAGAGAGATTGTGGCGGGGAAAGAGTTGGAAATGTGTCGAAAAAATCTCGGTCACATCACATTTTTTTATTTTTATTTCAACTCTACAAGTTAATGAAGGTTAAAATAGCCATTAAGGTTATATGTTACAAAGCTTAGAGGAGATAAACAAAAACATAATTGAAACATGGTCCATGATAAATTTTGGCATAATTTAAACAAAC